CACTAGGTCTGGAAATGGAACAGAAGCTCTACTCTGTATAGAGATATTGTCATCAGCACACTGAGACTCTTTGTTTCAGTGCAACAGCAGAAATCACTAAAGTCTTCGTGTAGAAATGAGGCATTCAGGACTCTGCAGATGAATGCTGCTGTGAACTTGAGTGAAATCTGCAGAGGAAAGGGACTTGTTCCTTAAAGTCTCTGTGCAGATCTGTGAGCGTCAAACTCAGTTATAATCACTCAGCTATTACCTCTGTTTGCTCCTCTTTTCTCTTTTGATTGGAATGGTGGTAAACAGGGTGGTTTGTACTAAGAGTGGATGAGCTTTGTACTGATGATTCAGAGTGGTTTAGACAACAGGAGCTTATGTATGTAGCTTATGTAGATGTTTTGACTGGGACATGTTACTGGTGGTTTGAGTACTTCATCCAGCAGTGACTGACAGATCGATGAAAATAAGATGACCACAACTGTCAGTGCTGCGGAGTGAAGTGCTCTGAGAGCAGTTCCACTCATGAATGAATGAATGAATGAATAAAATATAAAAGTAAAGTTACATGATATAATAACGTTATATAGATACTTTAAAACAGAGTTTTTAAGCGTGCTTAAATCAGAAGATAAAAGACAACGCATGGAATAGAAACAGTTATACAGCTGTAAGCCTCCATTAGGTTCTGTGGAAAAATACACAAAACAGTGTGCGATATTATTCATTAAATATCAGTAAATTAAAGTCCATTTAATTCTAGGGGTAATTACACCCTAACCCTGCGTGCCATATTATAAAATGCTACCAAAATTCAGATATAATGCAAAACCCTGAAATGAAAGTTGAAAGACTTCATCTTAATCACATATTTATCGATTGACTTGCAATACTCTCCGGAGATCAACAAAGGGAAACCTACAAAAATGGTGTCTTTGCCTAAGACATTGTGGATGACATTATATAGCATGCGTGTATATTAGTGCACAAACTCTTTGTGGACTGGAAATCTCCCATCACTTTCTGCTGCTTGTATTCTGCAGTCTCCCATCCCTCCAACTAGTAAGTAGGCGGTGACCTTTACGTTTGTTTTCAGCCTCGGAACAAGAAGATAATCCCGATCAATACAACAAGCGGAGAGTACTCATACTTGGAAAATGTTGGGAATGTGACAGCGGAAATGGACTTTCTGTTGGAATGCTATGGATGCCCCTCCACACAAAGAAATACATTCTTTGTGCCAATTTAGTCGGATGATCAACCATCCGGGGTGTCCCCAGACTCTTCTCAACCCTAGCCTAAAATCATGTGATCAGCAGGGACGTCAGCAGCTTGTCCCGGGTGGTGACAGAAGTCAGATGAGGGGTCAAATCCTGAGGGAGGAAGACGCATCTAGACGGACTTTCAGTCTCTTTCAGCTCGATGTGAAAATTTACATGTAGTGAGACAGAATAGTTGTCTGTAGCACCGCCTCAGAATTACATCTGAAATGTCCGCTGGAACATCTGTACTGCTCAGCTGGACCCAGCTGTGGCTCTGCCTCCTTGTTTTGGTCTGTGCAGGTGAGACTTGACCTGTTAAATGTATCTGTATCTGTACGTATTAATAAGTAAGAAATTTAAAAAAATAACAAAGTGTTCCCTGAAAACGTCTGTCTCTAACTCTGATTCATCTAATATCAGTATAACAGCATATTAGTAGCTTGGAGAGTGCGTCACCACTTGCCTTTCACTACACTGTACCTTTGATTTAAACCGCTTTGTATTCTTTTCTTTTATGTACTGACATCTAACTAACTTATCATCGATTCTAGGATCAATCTTTAAGTGCAGAGCCTACAATTAAAATTAAATTAACCAATTCACAGATTTCTCTTCCAGGTTAAGGTGGACCCTTTAGTTATTAAACCTACAGGTTAACTGTCAAACATGTTGTTCAGAATTTTCCAAAGTATTTTGAACAATTATTGGTAGTGAAACAGATAAGAGGGAAAACATGCACAGCATTGATTCAGTCACTTAACTACAGAGAATAGAACAGAATAGACTTTAATTCCCATTGTACATCTACAACGATATTTAACCGACTACTGTACAAGAAATATAAATAAGACGAGCGCACAACAAATGGCACGTGATAAAATGAAGTTGTGACATTTACAAATGACTTGAAAGTACATGGAGACAGTCCACTATATCATAAAGCAGTCAAAGATCACACTGCCTCTCCATACACCTGGACGAGAAGCAAACTGATAGGAGAGCAGCTTAAGGCATAGGTGTCAAACTCTGGCCCGTGGGCCAAATTTGGCCCGCAGCCTAATTACATTTGGCCCGCGAAGCCATACCAAATTACTATTAGAGCAGGCCTCTGGTATTATACAGCTAATATATATATTGTTTAGTATTAAGCTTTGCTGTTCCATATTCAGTTTTTCAGCTAAACTTGTTTGAGTCCATAAGAAAAGATTCATTCTTATATCTGGAGGAAGATTTTTTTTTTCAATAAATATTAATGTTAGCCCGCGACTTTGTTCCATTTTGAATTTTGGCCCACTGTGTATTTGAGTTTGACACCCCTGGCTTAAGGTAAAGTTTTCATGCAAGCCCTCCTCTTATTGTGCAGACTCAACACAGGGCATAAGGTACATCTGCTTCAGGGCTGGAGAAATAGATTTCATTGGCAGTCTGTTCAAGCCATGTTTGGAGTGCTCTGAATCCTGTTACCATTCAGATCAGTCAATGTGTTCAATTTAGAATGTCCCCGTGCAAAGGTGTTACTGGAAAGCACACAAAACATCCATGAAATATATCTTTAAATTATCTTGCATTTTTTATTTAACAAATTTCCCATGTGTGGGACTAATAAAGGGTTATCTTATCTCCGTATATTTGTAAACCCTTACAGTTTTTTCTCTTTCCATCTAACTTTGCCATTTGCCCATTTGTTCAGTTTCTGCTCTCTCACTCTCTCTTGCTCTTTAAAAGACAAAGGCCCCCAGATGGCAGGTAGAAGGAAAAGCAGGAGTTTGGTGGTGAGAGCAGGGACTTTAATGTAGGGACTGTGTAACGGGAGAGAGGTGGTTCATATGATGGAGAGAAAGTAGATATATATATGTGCAGCAAACCAAATGGAAAGGAAGCAAGACCAGGTGCACCGGAGGTGGATTCAAGCTCTTCCAGAATGATGTAGAAGAGAGGAGAGATAGAGTAGGGAAACTAGAATGGAAAATTTTATATTCCATTTATACACCAATCAAAACATATACATCTCAGTGGTCCCTGATCCTCACAGTGATTGGCTGATGTAGAGGTGAACACTTACTTCATCCTCTTTGCTTTGTGTTGTTTCCTCTTTCAGACCAGAAAAACATAACATCTAAGTCTGGACAGAACGTCATTCTGCCATGTCGAGCTCCAAACAAGGACATCATTGTTTTAGAGTGGAGCAGAGCTGACCTGGGAGAAGAATATGTCCTAACGTACCGAGACGAGCAGTTTGATCCAGATGAGCAGCATCCATCTTTTAAGAACCGGGTGGATCTGCAGGACAGACAGATGAAGGATGGAAACGTGTCTTTGATTGTGAAGGATGTGATGATTAACGACACTGGAACATACAAGTGTCGTATCATCATGAATGAAACACGCTTGTGGGAATCCATCAACAACATCAACCTTCATGTTGATCCTCCAGGTGAGTGAGTAGAGCTGAGTGTGTGTGTGATCAGAGGTGAAGCTGCTTCCTGGTTGTTGATGTTTGTTTCTAAAGATGTTGTTGATGAGACTTTGTAGAAAGCAGCTGGTCTGAGTGATGTGATCAGAGTGCAGTAGATAATGTCTGACAGCAGTTTGAAGAGGAAATGGGATTCTGTTCTGTTCTTCACTCATCACCTACCTGACAGCTGACACCTCACACCTGTTTCTCACCTGCAGGTCAGACAGGAGGAGGCAGATTTGTCCCACTGATACTTTGTCTACTTGGTTCCACTGTCTTTATTGTGGTCAGTTTTCTGATCTACAGAAGAAAACCCCACAAATAGGATTCACACGTCCTTCCTGTTGAACAGCAGCATATTTAAAATGTCTCAGAGCTTTTTAACTGTGAACTGAGTCTCTTGCAATTGTTACTAAATATTTATTAGAGTTTTCTCATTTTAAAGAAAAGCAAGGCAGCTTTTATTCATTACATTTTTTAAGCACTGCTTACATGTATTTGCACATCTCTGGATTTGTCAATATATTTACTTCTAATATGCATTTTATTGTTAATGTTAATGAAATTATAGCTGAAGTTCCTGATTCACCGCCCAACCCAATATGCAGTTTTATCTGTTTATTGGGTTTCTGTTTACAGTGTTTTAAAGTCTTAACTGTGAATATAAATTGTATTTTAATGACTGAACATGTGTTGCTGTGTTGATATGTGCCTGTTTCTTTTAAAATGTGTATGTTTGTTTTTAAATGTTTTCCCAATCTTACCCCACCTTACCTCTCTGAGCTTCTTCATCCCTACACACCCTGTTGGTCTCTTACTTGCTTAGTTGGAGTACCGAGATCCGGGAGGAAGCTCAGAGGGAGCAGGGCCTTCTCTATCGTGGCTCCTGAATTTAGAGAGGTCCCATCTCTGTCCACTATTAAAACACGCCTTTGGCTTTTGACCTCAGTGAGACTTAGTGTCTCTTGTATTTAAATGTGTTATTTAATTAATTATTTTATTTTTCTTTTATTTGCTTTCAATTAAATCAAATGTTATTTTTATTATTTAGTTCCGATCCATGGCACTTTGCGCCAGCTGTGGTTGCTTTAAAGACTTTATTAAAAAAGATGATGGTGATACTTGTGCTCATTGTAATTCAGTCTATATCTTAAATGTTGTTTTGTATTATTTTATGCTTTTTAATGTTCTTATTTTTTTACTCTAATTTGTTTACAGTGTTTGGTGCTTAGAATTAAAAAAATAAAATAAAATCATAACTAAAGAAAAACTGAAATAGAATAATCTGAATTTTAATCAGTCTTGAGAAAACAAACATCACTGACAGGTACAACCTTGCCACTTAAAAATATTAGAAATGAGAAATAATCAAAAACATGCCAATTTAGTCATGTTTACAAATCATGCCACACAGGTTATCATGTCACTTGTGTTGCACACTTGGATTAAAATGAATTGAAACCAGTGTGGCTTTGTGAGTTCGCCTTTACTGCATCTGCAAATATATACATGGACATAGCACAGCGTTACACACTTTTGCAGTCTCACATAATGCTTATAGGCGCACTGCCTTATGGGTAGTGTTTAAACTCAAACCACTAATATTTCTTACAGTGGAACAATGAAATAAACATAAACACAAGGTAGTGTGATCCACCAGTCTACATCTGCTGTGATTACAGCCCGGTACAGGTATAAATCCACAAAAGTGCCACGAGGTTTCCACACAAACTAATGAATCAGATCTAGCTGCTAATCGTTAGCATCACAGCTAATTCACATCGCTACCAATAACTTATACACTAATGACACATAGTGGGGATTAACGGCCAACTTTCCCACATTCTCTGCAACCCCGTGGACTCATCTGTAGACACATTTTAAGTTATTTACCATCTTGTATCTGCTTACCTGCAAATATATACATGGACATAGCACAGCGTTACACACTTTTGCAGTCTCACATAACGCTTATAGGCGCACTGCCTTATGGGTAGTGGCTGGCTTCTTTACTCCCGCTAGAGCTGCTCATTTTAGGGGATACTCCCTCTTGTGGTGTAACGGAGGAATAACTACGCTTCCTGCACTATGTCATTTTTGGAGACTGGGGCACACATTATTTTACCACAATCAAAGAAAATACAGATTTGAACAATCAGACCATTTAACTAACTACAATATTGTCACTAAAGATTATGGGGGGTGTCTTGTTTTGTCCACAATGTCTTTCTTGTCCTTACACTCTCCCCTCAAAAAGTTAATGGCGTCCCGACATTCTACCAATATCAGTCCTTATGTGGCAACTATACATTGCTTGTAGGAGGCTACATCCCTTTAGGAGTCAGAGTTCAGCATCACTGCTAGCCACAGTGAAACACATGACATGTATCTCCCCTTCATGTCATATGTCGCAGCAGGTGTTATTGTGCACGATAACAGTCCACTGCTTTTCCGTCCATATCACGGGTATCTGCATCTTTACTGAGTAAGGTGCTCTCACCTGGACATAACCTCGCTACATGACATGGGTGCCATTCTCATAACAGGTCATTACACTAACTCTTCTTTATGGCTAACAAAACAGAATTAACATTTCTATTCTTCTAATAAAGCATTAATAAAAACCTGAAAATGTAACTGTTATAACTGCTTTACTGCAATATGTAACATATGACTGTGTCTGAGGTACTTATTCAAGTGCTAATGTTGGCTGTCCTAACTTGTGGTAAGTAAACATTAGCTTTTGTTTTCTCATTCTGAAAGGATACTTTTTCACACTGACAGGTGACTGGTCAGTGTCCTCTTGGTCACTGCACTCCATCTCGAGCTGGTGCGTCTGCTCTGTGTCTTTATTGTTCTCTTGTGCCTCTGTATCCTCGTCATGCTGGTCGCGTTGGTGTTCTATATCATTCACGCCCAGATTCTCTTCTTCGCAATCCTCCTGGTGTTCCATGTCATTGTCATCACAGAGATCCTCCCTACTGCCTGCTCCACTTTCTGCATTGAACTCGGATGCTTCTGTCCACCAGGACTGTCTACCACATTCCCCTTGTTCTGTTGACAGTCCTCTGATTGCTCTCCATTCATCTTCATCCTCCGAACTGTCCTCTTGCTCATGCCGCTCATGTCTGTCCTTGTTGTTTTTCTGTTTTTGCTTTCCCAGTTCTGCATGTGAGTTGACTTTTTCGACTGGTAAGAAGTCACACGGCAGCAGGAGGTTCCTGTGGACGACTCTGACACGTCCCTTGCCATTTTCTGGCTTAATCTCATATACTGGGCTCTCCTTATGTTTCCTTTGTGTCACCTGAAACACTTGGTCCTCCCAGAAGGATCTCAGTTTCCCTGGTCCTCCCTTCTCACCAAAATTCCGGACCAGTACTCTGCACCCTGGGTACAGCTCTGCACCATGTGTTTTTCTGTCATAGAGCACTTTTCCCCGTCGACTCTCCTTACAGGCTGTCGCTGAGGCCAGTTTGTAAGCGTCCTTCATGCGAATCTTCCACTTCTCAGCATAGTCTTGATGAGAAGGGCTTTGGTCATTAGCTGTGAGACCAAAAATCATATCAATGGGGAGTCTGGGGTTCCTCCCAAACAAGAGGAAATAAGGTGCATATCCAGTAGCCTCGCTGCGCGTACAGTTGTACGCATGGACCACCTTTGCCAGGGATGCCTTCCAGTCTGCTTTTGCCCCCTCTGGGAGGTTCCGAAGCATGGCCAGCAGTGTCCTATTGAACCTTTCTACCTGACCATTTCCCTGGGGGTGGTATGGTGTGGTTCTGGACCCCTTGACTCCACTGTATCCCTCCAGCTTGGCAAAGAGTTTGTTTTCGAACTCTCTTCCCTGGTCATGATGGAGCCGTGTGGGAAAACCAAACTTCAACACAAAGTCTCCAAATATTTTCTCTGCCGCTGTTTTGGCACTTTTATCTCTGCAGGGATAAGCCTGAGCAAATCGTGTAAAGTGGTCCATGGCCACGAGGATATACTCATACCCTCCCTTACATTTCTCCAAATGTAGAAAATCAATGGAGAC